ACATGTAATCTTAACTACTCAAAATGTATTCAAGCCCCTCTTGAAGCTATATTATAAGCCTCTAATGATATCTACTTTGAGGGAAAAAATGTAAAGATTCTGTTTGACACATTAAGATAACTGTTCTGCTATAAAGGTAAATATTTTCTCTCTGTCCACTTTAAAAAAAATAAATGATTGAAAACTACACATTTATCTGTACTTTCATTAGTTTTCAAAGATTTAAATAATGATTTAAGATGCCCTACTGCAAGAGACACAAAGAGGGAACAGCTTATCTATTCAGTGCCGTATTTTCCAGAACCCTCCTGCGATGTTGGTGGTACCCAATTTTACAAGCCCATTGCCTCACATACCAACATCCTAAATTCTCAAGTGCAGCACACAGCAAAGCCTGTAAATCCAGCTCCCCACCTGGAACCCTCCACCTCCACTCTGCACGTGTAAAAGGCAAATGACACCCACCGATGCACCACTGTACGCACCCCACAGCACCAAAAGAAGATTCTACACTGCACCATCCCTTTCACTCGGCTCATTTTAAAAATCAATTACAATTTTTATGTAACCAGAACAACATTTTAGTTTTCCAAATGGCCATGCAAGGTCACTTTCCCAACAACAACTTCGCCAGGGTCCCTCTGTTAAAAATCCCAAGAAAATGAACAAAAACATTAAGCTTGCTTTTGTTTTTCAATGTTTCTCCCGTTTTTTGCCTTTTCTTTTTTTTTTTTGGCTAGAGGTGAATTCAGTAGTATCCTGGATTCTGTGTATATTGTTTTCAAAATTAATAAATGTGCCAATTGTAAACAAACATTCTGCGCTTGCAAAAGGCAGGCAGAGAGCAGCCCAGCTCCCCAACCTTCCACTGCAGGCGATCACATGCCAGCGCTGCACCGCTGAACCGGCATCTCCGCTGTTGTGCCTTGAGGCTGACTGTTACCGATAGCTAGGTCTCTTTGATGGATAAGGACTTGGAACAACGAAATTAAATAAATAAATAAATAAAAGATCATCGCTATATATTGATCCATTCTCAGCTCTGATAAAAGCTATAAAGCTTCCCCTCCCCCTTACTCATTTTATTACCAAAAGCAAATAATACAGGCAACAGTTTACTAAAATCAAGTCATTGGGAAAAAACTGAAAACACGCAGGACTTTCTCCAACTGCTCTACAATTTTTCATGTTTTACGGAAAATCACACCCTTGCACTAAACTTCAGTAAAGTAGGTGCGAGTAATTCCACTGTGTACATATATTAAGTTCAGGACAGGCTGAACTGTTGACCTCCTTTGCCACTAAAATCTCAGTTAATCATAAAACTGAGCTGTGAGCTGTTACTCAGAAGCAGCAGCCAATGTAAGAGAATAACTTCTAACTTACAGTTGATAAAGCAGTCTACGTGGACAATTTTAAATTGCCACATATTTTCTATGCCCCCCCCCCAAAGGAAAGGCAATCACAACTCTGAGGATACGCTCAGAAGGACAACACATCCCAAAGCCACAGAAAGCAGCCTTAGGGATTACTCTGATTAAAGTGCTATCCTCTGCCTTTCCTTTTGGTTTTAAAGCCCTTGAGAAATGAATCATTTGAGCAATGACACCAGGCAAGAGGTGTAGTCCTACTGAAATAAAGTCCAGGTGCCCCATGAGGATTGATGGGGAGGAAGGAGCCTTCAGTATCAGCAGCTTGAAATTATTTTTGCCCAAACCACATGCAGCCGGGAGCACAACGCCGCGCTCGGCACCGACTTCAGCTGTGCTTAGAGATGGAAATACAAAGCACTACACCTGGCGCTTAAGGATAGTGTCAGAAAATGTTTTGCTTCACGTGTTTTAGTCTTACTTCAGCCATTTAAAAACACTCAGTGGTTTCCCATATTTGACCGCTCAGCACTATCTTTAATTGCAGGCTGACAAAACAGCATGCAAGTTTTCTCGCCAAATGGTGTCACTCAGCTTCAGCGCAGGAGAGATCACCTGGGAAATGCCGGGTAGACAAACAGGCTGGTGGAGCACTTTTAACTAGTGGAAGAATTATTTCTTCATTAGAAAACAATTTTGTTTAGCATTAGTGGAAACATTTACTAAACAAGTCACCAGACACCGTTTTTGCTATGAAGATGACAGAAAATGATCGAAATATCTAATAATAAAAGTGCATGTCTGATACCGAGGTAAGTACAATCATTGCTCAAATCGATCAGAAGCAGAATACATCTCCAGCAAAGCACAGGCCAAATGACCAATAATGTGGTATTAAGAAATGTCATGAAATTATAAATACCGAATGAATTATGTGAACAATCATTTTCAATCTTAATTCAAAACCAATGCTAATATTTGCTTAGATATTAAATAAACAGAAAGCTGAATGCTAACCTGTTCTTATCGATGTGTCAGGGAGTTCGCTATTGCTGCTACTTGGAATGTAAACATTAAAAACTCAACAGATCAACGCTTTCTAATGTGTGTTTTTTAATCTGTATAGAGAGTAGTCAAACTTAATGCTTAAAATTCATTTATTTCCTGCCACTTCATTTGACACTGAGCAGATAATCAATTATAATTTGCTTCAGAATTTGAATGAATACGTACAAAACTTATGGAAAGACAAAATTGACAAAGAACATCCACAGAAAAGAGAGTATCTGTCTGAAAAATAAGTGATCTTGTCAGAAACAAGAATTAGGAATAATTGAAGAATCTCCAGAAAGAAGATACTGCTGCAGAGATGTCATCTAATATAGCACAGTAAATCACCTGCCAGTCACTTGTACAATACCAGCAGCAACTGGGACTGCAGGGTGAGCTATTCCATTTTTAGCTTTATCTTTTCTTATAAATCTTCTCTTCGGAAAAGACTAATTTTTATGTTTATAGTTTGCCTTTTATGAGCAAAATATTTTTTTAAAAATATTCTTATTGATTTGGGCTTGCAGTTATCTTACAGAAGCCTTAGGAGAACACTGTGGAAAAGGAAGGTCTGTCTTCACTTCCCAGACAGGTGAGGAGGCAGCAGGGCGACCTGCCGCTCGACCCGGTGTCATCCCTGACTCATCCCTGATGCTAGGCACAGTCCCTCAGTCTCCACAAACCCTTGCTGACTCACCTTTTCCCAATTGAAACTGGTTAATAGTAACATTTATTTGCCTTGGCTTTCATGGAATAAGAAGAAGCAATCTTACGGCAAGGTAAACAGCTAGAAATTTTATTATTGTTAAAATGATATCGTCACAGGAGTTCAGATTTTTCTTTTCAAGGGAACTAAATTAAGTTGAAAATTTGTCTCCAGCCAGACTACATTTTGGTCCCTTATATTTGACTGTTAAGGTAAAAACAAATTAAAAATAAAATCACAGTCACAATAGCGTTTTTTCCCCTAACTGGCTTCTAAAAATATGTCCCACAGATCACGACTTCCTTTCTTTTCCTTTCCCATTAAAAAGCTTTAGTTTGTCATATTCTGTGTAAATGAAATTACATTTTTTTCAAGGGCTGGGGAAAAAAAAACCCGAAAATTTGGGATTTCTTAGTCTCAGCTCAGCCTCTTTAAAACAGAAGCTGTTTTCAAATTCCTACTATTTCAGAACAATGTCTAAACCAATTCGGTACAATAAATCAATGCTTTAACCTCAATGGCTTAGATCTCAACAACTGTCATCTTAACTGGGATGGACACATGGATCGTTTTACTTCACAGGAAAGGCAGACTAAATTATAAATAAGATTACAAATTCCAAAAAATGCCTTCAGTTTAGTCACGCTCCAGCTGCGCGCCTCAGCTTCTGACAGTACTATGCCCAATTTCAAAACAGACTGCCTAATTTTCTGGGATTCATACCTATTGACCCGGTCTGCTTGAAGTTCTGGCTTCTGATCCAGACCCCGACCCTCTTCTTTAAGTAAACAAAATAAGTTGTTATCCATGCTTAGATGAGAACTCAAATACCTGTCCCACTGAGGTCTGTCACCAATTTGGGAAGGGGGGGGGGGAGGGGGGGGGGGGGGGAAATCGGGATCATTTGTATTTCTGTTTTATATATGCACATATATACACGGCAGATGGGAATCTGCAACTGCAGCTCTTCTTTCTTTTTATTTTAACACAGTTTTGAATAGATGGTTATCAGCAATCTTTGCTAAATCAAATATAATGCAAAAATTCCTGATATTAGAGAAAAAAAACCCCACAATTTCCACTTATTTGCCTCCTAGTCTGATGTTCAAATCTATAATTTTTCTCCTCTGCAACTATGAGACATAGGTATTATCTTTCTTTTTATGAAAGCTGAGATTAAAATAACTTTAAGTAGCTTCAGAACAAACCACATATAACACAAGTTGACAGTGCTTAATCTTCTTGGTGCTGGCCACGTAGGGGCACTCTGAAGCAGACTGCAGGATTCAGCAGCATACAATTTTGGTGGTAGTAGTCAAAAATGGAGAAAAAAAACCCTCTATTAATATCTGCAATTTTATTTTAAGAGTTAAGAGATTTTAGTAGTTGTATTTTAGTTCTTGAAGATTCTGGAAGGCCATGCATATCTGCTTGCAAAAATAAAAATTATGCAGACGTACACTACGTTTTTTGTAAAATTCTATTTCTTGCACAGATTTATTTTCCCATGCAAGTTCCTTTATGTGCAAGTTTACTTAAAATGTAAATGAAAGGTGGAAAACCAGGTGGTTTGTCCTTTCCAGAAACGATGAGGTCTCCCTTCCTTGCATGAGGAGAAGTGAAATTTTTTCTTGGCTTTCTACCATCCTGCCTCCTAACCTACACCCCCAGGGTTAGCAAACAGCAACCGAGACAGTGACCGGGCAAAGCAGGGGACACAGCAAATCCTTATTGGCCAAGAAACTTGGGGATCCTGTGGGTACCACGGGAACATCGAAGTTCTGCTACAAGTTAGTTAGAGCCACAAGCCTGCCGACCAATTAAATCATTAAATAAATAGCTCGCTTTGTTCATTTCTCCAAAGCAGCACTCACCAGCACATTTGGTCCTGGTGATGAGTGGTGGCCCTGGCTGGCCAGTCCCACCTTCGCCCGGTCTGGTAAGCAGGACCCGAATCTCATATTCAGTGTCAGGGTCCAAGTGCCAGAGCTTGTATGTCGGCGCGTTGACGGCATGGGTTTCAGTCCACGTCCCAGACGTCATCCGGTACTCCACTTCTTTCAGGATAATGGGTCCATCCCCAATGATGGAGTTGGCATTCAGCTGAATGAGCAAGTACGTGGGCCCAACGCCCAGCAGCTGTGGGGGGGCTATCGGCCGAGGCGGCTCTGAAGGGGAGATGAGAAAAAAAAAAAAAAAGGCCAGTGATAAAACAAAAGCTGGAAAACTCATTAAGAAGAGGGCTCTTTCCACACAAAGTTGTCAGGTTTTGGTCAGCAAAGACTCCAAAACTCGAAAGCAAAATCAAACTGACATCAACGAAAAAGAGCTGAGGAGAATTTCAGCTGATAGAAGCAAGTGGTGCACCACTGGCGTCTGACCGATACTATTTTTTCCATTTAAAAATCTCAGCTAGGGACCACAAAATCCTATCTGACTTATATATAGCTACTTCTTAACTCTTTTTCTGAAAGACATCTATGTTCATGTTCATTTATATAATTTACTGTGGCAATAACTTGAGATTTTCAGAAATGTAACTGATTTTCTTTTATTGACAGAAGCCACATACATACTTTTCTTAAAAAAACAGTTGCAATAGTTGATGCATTAGCCCTGCACAGAATATTCTTAAAAACGAGTATCACTGCAGTTCACCAGATGCAGTGAGGGTAAAAGATACAGATGCCTACTACAGGCATTCAAAATACTCAGAACTGAGCAAAACTGCCAGGAGAATGACAAAATAAAGACATATAGCAATGACATCTAATATTTTATTCTTCAGTAACTTATTACTGATTTAGAAACTCAAACAATAGAATGTATGTTGCCTTTTGCCTGCCTCTGTTCTTATCAGCTTCTGCCTGCCTAAAGATTTCAACACAGCTGCAAAGTCAAAAGGTAACGATGGACCACACGGGGAGGTGAGGTCCCCCTTACCCTGAGAAATGTTTACATAGAGAAGCAGCACAGTGCCTAGGCATGGTTTATTTTGAGAAACAAATCACAAGCAACATGTATTTTTCTAATAAAACGAATCCACTGATAAACACGGAAGGTTCATTTTCATTCCAGATGGCTCATATTTCAACTAATTTGTTTCAGTTAATTAGGCAACAATGCTAAATTCAATGCACACAGGGGTTTCGCACAGCAGCGATGCAGAACTAACAACACGGCAACTCTGAGCAGGTAGGTAGAGGGATCTCATGGCCGGTACATTAAAAATAACGTTTAACTCCCACCCATACAATTTCCCTAGAGGGGGGCCTTCTCGCCACCGCTCCCGTCAACCCTCTGCACAAGAGAAGCTGAGATGCAGAAGCACTGCACATATTCTGCCTCTCGGGAATGACCCTACCAGTGTCACTGACACAGCCTGTGGGGAGCGGTGATGATGGGCTCCCAGAGGGCCTCCCAGACCTTCTTTGACATCCCACCCTCCCTGCATGGTGAAGTTCAGCTGATGACTCCCTGGTTCTCTACGTCCAGCAGTAAAGTTTCCCCTCGAGATACCAGAGCTGTCTCCCAACAGTCAGTGTATTTACTAGCTCTGTAAGCAACCAAGTTTCCCTCATTTTGGTACAAAAAGATTTCTTCCAGTCTTTTTTCTAGATTAGCTGCATCTCAGGCCATTCAGTTTGGAGACCAGGGAACCGGTGAACGTGCTGTAGTGGCAGCAAGTGGAGTTCATTTTCTCCTCCCAGAGTGAAAAGGTGAACGCTCCAAGGTGTTCCCATTTCTGCTTCAGGATATCCAAAACTCTAGAAAGTATCTCAATTAATTATTAACGTGTTTTACCCTGTTTTGGCAAGAAATGTGCATGTGAACTAATTTAGAACCCTACCTGCATCAAAGCTCAGCAATGCAGCCAGGCTTAATGAGGGCAGTTTATTTGCTGCGGAACTAACACATCAAATGTCAAACTAATGAATTCTAAGGTCAGTGTATATTACGGCAGAAAACATAAATGTTGATGAGCATGATGAACTACCAACTCCAAGTTATAAACCTCTAAAACATAAGGCTATGTTTAGAAGTATACACTTTGATTAAGAGCACGATTACCACAAATAAAATCTCACATTAATGAGACTAATATACCATTGCATATTAATTTTTTATGTTGAGAGAGAGGTAAAGCGTATTCTTATATTAGCATATGCATTTTGTTTTTAAGCTCTTGAGGAAAAGAAGACTTATTTATAAAGTCTCTCCCAGTTCCAATAAATTATGCATGAATTTTAATCAGTTAGCAAATGAACAAGTAATTGTTCTGCAGCATTATTAATATTCTTCATAATACAATATACTATCAGAACGAGAGGTGAGGTGCAACCAGAAATCCCCAAAGTACACTAAGTATCAACTGAAGCATGCGATCCCAATATACCAGATAAACTTTTCTGATGTTACCCAATTAACTTTCTATTAATTATTCTCATTCGTTATTCTATAACCAGATCCGGCAAATATTCCCCAATTACAATTTCAAATCACATAATTTCCTTTTATATATACAGCAACCTGAAACTTTTAGGGCTTAAAAATTGCCATTGATAAGTAAAAGACAGAACAAAGCCATTATTAATGTTTTGGTTGCCATTCCCATAGCAAGCATCAGATATATACAATATTCCTCTTTCAGTGGGTTTTTAAACACATTTCACATCCTTCAAGGAAGTGATGTTGCTGGTTTTTCACTCTAGTAATCTGGGTCCACCTAGCAGTAAAGAACACTGCTTTGCAGGGTTCCGAGAAGTTTGTCAAAATTGAAAAACCTCTTATATGAGGTATTGGGGATGGAGGGGGGTGTGGTGGTGGCGGAATGCATGAGAGGGAACCCCAAAGAAAATCACCCTCTCAGAAGTTTGGTCTGGTTTACAAACAATGTAAAAACTCAGCTTCAGTCAAGCCAAGTGACAGCTTTAGAGGTGAGAGCTTGGATCAGAGGCAGGAAGTTTGGAGACCTTGGATCAGAGCAGGAAGCTGAGGCTCATGGGTCACCCATCACGACAGCCTCCCTCCTGCCTGGCCCTGCAGATGGCCACTACGGTAAATGCGTTTTGTGGCTTCCAGTCACCCACACCCACAGCCAGGTAAGGCAGCACCGTGACCTCCCTCCGTCCCCCTGCTGCCCTGGCCACCGCAACCAAATCAGGGAACTGTACCCTTTATTTCTGTCAAACCTCCCCTCTCAATTACCATGAGCAGATGTGGCTAAAGCACACAGGATTCCCAGTAAGCAATTTTCACTGAGCACAGTTCCCCTCTTCTCGACCATGAACCCTCTGTGAACAGCCATAAAAGGTTCTAAACAACGTTTTAAGAAAAAAATATGTCAGCCCATGGATGGTTTACTAACTCATCAGCAGAATCATGATTTCAATAGGTATTTAAGACATTCACACTAAACAGTTTGAATGAAGACCCTGCATGGTGAGTTTCATTTCTTCCTTTGCTAAGCACAAACTTTAGAATTCTTTTTCCAGTGTGACTAGTTCAATTACTGACTCATTTTCTGACTATATTTTTCAGCCACTGCTTAAAGGTGTTAAATCTGATGAAATCCCTTCCAGTATGCATGGCCACTAACATCTCTGAAAGACTATATAAAAAGAGCACTTGTACATCTGCAAGACATTAAAGAAATTACTGTACTTTCATGCGTAGCATTTTGCAGTATTTGGCCAGTTCTGATTTTGACATAAAATGCCCACAGCTAAGTTAATCAAAAATTAAGACTGACATTTTATCAGTACAAAGTTCCCATTCTGCTGAGCTACTAGCAGTACATTATGCTCACATCAGTATGTATGTGACATTATATATTAAACGTACTGTGATATTTAGGCACCGATGACTAGAATAAGCATGCAGCATCAACCCCAGCTATAAGTCTTCCTACGGTTAAGCAGTTGTGTCATATTATTAATATTAAATATTGTATGCAAATAATTATATTCATAGATAGAAAAAACAGCCAGAAAAGGTCACTAGTGTTATTAGCACAGTAACTAGTATGCATAAAGCTTCCTATATTCCCAATTAACATATGCATACTATGCTGCTTAATACTATTTACCCAGTCTGGATAACAACAGCCCTACTACATTTCCCTCCAAGACTAAACACCTCCTAAATTTAAAATAAAAGAAGGGAGTTTCATTAGTATCTCAGTGATAAATCATATACTGTTAATGATGAGTTTAAAGTAGGAGAAAAAAAGAAATCAAACCAAACCAGAACCCTACAAGCTGTTTCACTTTGGAGGAAAAGCTGATACTGAATGCATGTTTGATAAAATCTTATTTATTTACAGGAAGTCATGTTTTGCCGAGCGTAACATGTACCAGTCACAGAAGACTGTTTCCTTGCTCGCAGCAGAAGGGTTTGGAAGGGTGGGGAGGAGAGGTCTGGCCACCACACAGCCTGAGCACCAAGAGATGTGCCTGCCTTCATTCTTGCCACTCTCTGTCCCATCCCTGCCTCGTACGGAGCCTCCGCACATTAATACCCTGCAACCTCCCTCTGCTCAGGCGCGCAGTCTGCCTTCCCTCTGGTCACACCATGTTCAGCCCTCTCTGTCGAATACCTTACACGAAGATATGCAGTTGGTATGCTGATGGGTATCAACTGCCTAACCCAGTACATACAACAGGGGTAAATTATAAAAAGCTCAATTTTTACAAGTATAACAAAGCGTTCATTTATTCAAAGAAGCCCAACATCAGCCCGACCCCTCCAGATATTAAAATTGGTATGTCTTAACTACACCATAAACTGTCAAGCAAGCAGGTAAATTAAAGAATACAGGTTTCCTTTAAAATTTTTCATAATTCAGAGAAACAAATAAATCCCCATAAATACAGCTAATACTGGATGTTCCAGGGAGTACAGCGGCGATGCCTCCACAAATGACTCAAGACTGACTCAGCTCCCACCTCGATCAAGCTCATTTCCTCTTCTAGGGCAATTCCTTACAAAGCTCTTTAAATATGGCTGCACATTTCTTGCAAGTACCCTGGGTTTCAAGTGCAGGTTCAGTGCCCGACCCGCGCTGGCTATGTACAGCTAGACCACAATCTTTGTGGTACGAAGCCCCCTGGGGCCATGGGGCCGGAGGGAGAGCAGTCTGAGGCACGCGAGGTTTCTCGAAGGAGCC